ATGGGAGTCCAGCGACATAGCCATTACGCTAACTGCTGGTCCCCCAGGCCTGCATTCTAATACTCCTGGCTTGCAAGCCTTCTTCCTCTTCAAGCATGTATGTGAAAATGCTGATTATTCCTTAGGGCAGGGACAAATGCTACCTTTCACAAGGTCCCCAGTAGGAAATGTTGTCTTAGCCTATGTCCTCTGAGTTTCAGCTATGTGGTTTTTATTTTTTCTTTTTTAAAAAATCGTTTATACATGTATGTATTCCATGAGCCAGAGAGACAGACACAGCACCCCGGGCAGGCTTCTGATGCTGTGACCTACTCCCAGTCTTAGCACATGCTTGGTGAACCCAGGGAGTCTCCAGGCATGAACCTAAAACTCTACCATGTGAGTCACCCTTGTAGAATATCACATTTTACCAACATGCAACCATCTGACTCCCACCAGACTTTAATGCACTGACTGCTCACTGTACTACAGGAGATCACAAACATTCTGTCTTCACAACTAGAACTTGAGCTCCTTAAGAACAAGGTCCTTGACAGATTCATTTTTAGATTCTCTATGGTCCCCCTGCAATAGCAGATATTTAATTAAATAATTATCTGGAGAATAATTTTGGGCATTTTTATCTATAAACATTAGAATATCATAGTAGTAGTGGCTTATCATCTACGACATTTTTTATTTTATTTTTGTTAAATGTTTTTTTATTTTTCAAGGGCTTTTTTTTTCCCCTTAGGGCGCAGGCGCTCACTGGAGGCAGAGAGAGACAGAGACAGTGAGAGAGAAAGTGAGAAATCATCCCCAAGGGGAATGGCCACACTGCAATCCCTTCTCCTCTATTCTCCTCTCTTGGGATCTTGGGCACACACTCACATGTGCCTGACATGATTTTCAAGCCACCAGGCTCGGGACTCAAACCATTGTTAGCCACAAGGGAGTCCTGCAATGTAACAGTTATGCCATCTGCTGGTCCCTAAATGTTTTATTTTATAATAACTTTAGATTTACAAGAAAATTGCAAAGTTGGTACACAGAGTTCCCTTGTACCTCTCACCCAGGGTCTTCTATTATTAACATTGTGCACTGGTATATTTATTATAATGAATGATAGTCAACATTATCATTAACATTGCTATTAATATCAATGTGTTAACCAAAGTCTATACTTCATTCCGTTTTCTTTATTTATTTTTTCCTATTCCAGGATCCCATCCAAGATTCTGTACTACAGGCTCCCTGGATAGCTCTTCACCATGACAGTTTCTTAGATTTTTCCTGTTTCAAAGACTAAATTGGTTTTCTTCTGCTAAAGTAAAGTATTACTGTAAACTTAAAATAATACAAATTTATTTCCTTGTACTTCTGTACTTCATGAATCCTAAAGTGATCCAAATTGGCTACATCAAAGTATCAGAAGAGTTTGGTTATTTTCCTGAAGACTCCAGAGAAAAATCTATTCCCTTGCCTTTTCCACTTTCTTTTTTTTTTAATAATTATTTATTTAATTTTATTTATTCATTCATTTATTTTAACTTGACCAGAGAGAGATACACAGACAGAGAGAGAAGGAAAGTGAGAGAATAAGCCATCAGGTCTCGGACTCGAACCATGGTTGGCCGTGCGGGAGTGTCCAGCATTTCAATCACCACACCACCTGCTGGCCCTCCTTTTCCAGTTTCTCTGGGCCAACTTCCTTCCTACCACAATGATCCTTGATTGCTTACAGGAGCAATGCTCAGGTAGTTTGCAGAATGTCCTTCAGTTGAGATCTACCTGGTGTTTTTCTCATGATTAGACTGGGTTTGGGGGAGGAAGAACACAGAAGTAAAGCAACAGTCATCATAAATCTAGCATTCATGATTTATCAAATGAGCTTATCACTGCTGCTGTGCGGTTCATCGCCTGTGGCTTCATCACCACAGTGTCTGCCAGATATGGGAGAAAGAATGCTAGTGGGCCAGCTGGTGGCATGAAAGTTAACGTGGCTGGATCCCACATGGCCAGCTGTCTCTCTGTCTCTAGTGAGTGCATGCTCCCTTTAGCAAAAATCTCTCTTAAAGGAAAAAAAATAAAGAAAGTCATGTTGGATGTGCGTGCGTGCACATCCAAAATCCCAAGAGAGATGTGGCAAGGCTATTCACTCAGGAGTGATTTCTCACTTTTCCTCATTCTCTTTCTCTATCTCAGGTGAGTGCACACATCCTATAGCAAAATTTAAAAAAAATAAAAAGGAAAGAAACAAAGAAAGAAAAACTAGCTCCCCCAATGTGATTATACCCTAATCCCTTGAACCTGTGAATATGGTAAGTTACATGACAAAGGAAAATTAAGATTTCAGATGGAATTAAGTTTTCAAATCAGCTGACCTTCAATAGGAAAACTATCCTGAATTACCTGGGTGGGGGGCAAGGCAATCAAAAGACAGAAGAGAGTCAGAGAAAGATAAGGAAGCAGGTCAAAGCAACATCTGGGAGAACTAGGCCTGTTGTTGATGGTTTTGAAGGCAGAGGAAAGGAACCATAGCCAAAGATGGTAGGCAGCCTCTAGAATCAGAAAAAGACAAGGAAACATTCTTCCTTAAGCTTTCCACAAAAAAATACGACCTGTCCACATCTCTGCCAACATCATTAGCCCAGTGTTCAACTCCTAACCCACAGAACTGTAAGATAATAAGGTTTAGTTTTGCACCACTAAGTTTGAAATGATTTGTTATAGCACCAATAGAAAACTAATGCACTTGTAATCATTTGTTATAGCAACAATAGAAAACTAATGCATAGGGACCAGCAGATAGTGTAATGATTATGTGCTGGACTCCCACAGTCTACCGCATTTGAGTCCTGGATCGCGTGGCTTAAAAAATCATACCAGGTACATGTGTGTGCATGCCCAAGATCCCGAGAGGAGAATGGAGGAGAAGGGATTGTGGTGTGGCTATTCCCCCTGGAGAGGTGATTTATCTCTCTCTGTCTCTCTGGAGAGCACAAACACCCAACAGCAAAAATCTCACTTAAAATAAAAAGAAAGAAAACGAATGCATAAAATTTCACCACTGTAAAGTTACCCTGTTCAACCCTTCCCCATAATCTCCTTGGAAGAAAGTAATTATGTCCAATCCATATTTAAGGAGTGAGTTACGTTCCACTTCACTGAAGGTGGAGTATCTACACAAATTATTTGGAATTCTTGTGCAAGAAACTTGCCTATGCTTCCCCATTTATTTACTTACTCAATCATCTATTTATGTAATTATTGACTCATGGATATTTATTTTCTATTTAGGATGGTAATCCAATTACGCTTCATTTATTTTGGTGCTCCAATATTTCCCACTTTGGTCATTGTCAACTCTTTCTGTTCACTCCTATGTCCTTTTCCCATACCCCCATCATTGTGCGTTTTTTTTTGAGCACTTCTTTAAAGAATTATTTTATTTAACTTCATTTATTTATTTATCTATTTTAATTTGAGGAGAGAGGAACAGAGTGAGGGGTAGAGAGAGTGAGACAGCAAGTCACCAGGTCCAGAACTCAAACCACTGTCAGCCATATGGGTGTCCAGTGTCCTTAACCACCATGCCACCTGCTAGCTCCACACTTCTTTATTTTTAAGCAGTGCAACATGCTCCATCTTTTTAAAGTCCGAATGGCAAATATGGCAGGTTGGTTGAGTAGCTTAGTAGTATCATCAGGACATGGCTCAGTGCTACTGAAAAGGTCTCCATGACTGATTTTGACAGATCATGTCCACGAAGGCTGGACACTATGTCTACACCACCACCATCCTCCCAAAATAACGAAACACACTGAAGTTTATGTGCGAGAAAGAAGAAAGGAACGCAGTTTGTTCTCCAGTGGGCAAGAAACACTCCATGTGACTACCAATCTGTTTCTGCTTTGCTTTTTTAAAAATATAAAATAAATCTTAAAAATATAATGGAGACACTGGACTGACTGATTTATAATCACATTTGAAAATGAATTTTTTATGGTCTTGACATATACAGGCAGCTGAAAAGACAAAAAGCATAGATTCCACATTGAAACAATTCTGTTTGTTAAAGTTAAAAGCCTTAAAAAATCTATTTCATGGGCTTGCCATACATATCCCAATAAAGATCTGCAAATGCAAATTTACAAGGTGAATTGCCTGTTTTTGCCTTGTTTTGTTTTTTGATGTGTCAACTTCTCCATTTTCCAGTCCCTAGTTATTCAGTCATCCCCAATTCTAGGTGTTGCCGTAAAGGGACCTTATAGATGTAATGAAAGCTCCTAATCGGTCTTCTTTAAGTAAAATAGATTGCCCTGGGTAATCTGTGTGGGCCTGATTAAATCAGTTGGAAGAATTTCAAAACAGAGGTGAAGTTTCACTAAGAGAGAAGAAATTCTGCCTGTGGACAACAAATTCTACCCATAGGGAATCCCATGTGTTAGAGCAGCCTGTGTCTTCCTTTCCTTTGTCTGCCCAGGAGATCTTGGATTTTGGCATACCAGCTCCTGTAGTCAAGGACCCAATACCTTATAATAAATCTCTCTTCCTCCTTCCTTCAGTCTCTCTCCCTCTCTCTGATTCTTTTCCAATCTTATGCAGTTTTCTATCTACCTATCTTAGCATCCATCGATCCATCCATCCATCCTCCTGATTATGCTTCCCTGGTTGCACGGTGACTGATACACCTAGAAACAAACTACTTCAAACATGATCATCTTCTGAACATCCTTTATAATAACATTCCTTCTTCACCTTAACAGTGCTATACTGCTTTTTCTCTTAAAATGATAGTAACTCTTCTAGATAGGAATGAACAATTTCATTGTCATTTGTTCAGTGTTCAAGTCTCCTTCTCTAGATGGAAATGTCTTCTGAGTTTGATTAAATGAGAAAGGAAAATTTGAAGAGGGACTGGGATAGGGGAAAAACTAGGGCAGAGTGCAGATGGTGGGGAAACACATTCACAAGATGAAAAATAATACATGCTGATGTTTTGACAAAATAAATACATCTACCACATCTGCTGGTCTTGGGATGTTTTAAGTACTCCACAGGCTTCTTGATGCAGTGCTAGAAAAAAACAAAAATCTTTCATCTGGAGCCAAATAGTGGTCTTCATATGCTTGAAAAACTAAACTTCTTTAACATCTTTAGTTGTGATGATACATTCCAGCCCTTTCTCTTCCCATGACCATGGTCGGATCTTTATTGTTTACCTGATGAATAATGAATGGACTGCGGATACCATTTTTTCCTGCAAATCCACCTCTTGGTATCTTACTATAGTCAAAGTAATACAAATTTGCAGAGAGAAAACCTGCATTTGAGGCCAATCAACTCTTATATCTCTCTTCCCTCTTTATTTTCCACTGTACTGCTCGCTATCTCCTTATATTCAGTGCAATTCATTTATCCACCTTGTGTGCTGTCTGTCTGCCCTATTAGAACAAAAGCTCCAGAAATGCTGGCCTTATACCCGTGTATTTGCTGTATTCCAATATGTAGCGTAATGCCTGGCACATAGTAGGTGCTTTCTAACTTCTGAATAAACAAGCCTCACTCTGTCACTAATCTGTCATAGGGACATAATAATAGTACCTAATTTACTAGATGATTATGGGGGGGGGAATGATAATGCATGTGACACTCTGGAATATTCCAGTCAGCCTGAACTCACAAAAATAAGGATTCTAACATCTGCTTCCTTCCAGAGTATATGAGAGACAGAAAAAATATGGGGTAAAAATAAAGCCTTAATTAATTTTATTAATTTTACTCTTTCTCAGAGTAAAATTACTATTACTATTCTGCTATCTATAATTCCTTATCTACAACATTGTCTTGGGTTGTAATTCATCGAGAAGTTTATTTGTTTTAACCTAGTTACTCACTAACCAGGGATATGGAAAAAAGACTAGATAGATAGATAGATAGATAGATAGATAGATAGATAGATATACACATACATATACCAGAGGGTGCATGCACTTGCCAGAGCAAGATGGAAAGAGAGAGAGAGAGAGAGAGAGAGAAAGTGAGAAACACCCCCAATGGGGGATGGTCACACTTCAATTTTATGCTCCCCTTGGAACTGGGGGTATACACGCTTACATGCCCAGCATGTTATTCAAGCCACTGGGTCCAGAACTCTTTTTTTTTTTTTTTTTTTTGGAGAGATTTTCACTGTAGGGCGCGTGCGCTCGCCAGACAGACAGAGACATAGAGACAGAAAGCGAGAAATCACCCCCCAGGGGGGATGGTCACGCCGCAATCCCTTCTCCTCCATTCTCCTCTCGGGATCTTGGGCATGCACGCACACGCGCCCGGCGTGAGTTTTAAGCCACCGGGTCCAGGACACGAACCGCGGTCGACTACGTGGGAGTCCAGCGACATAGCCATTACGCTAACTGCTGGTTCCCTGGGTCCAGAACTCTTAACTGCACAGTCAGTAATATGGGAAACAGCCACTTTAACCACCACCCCAGTGGCTGGCCCAAAAGAGAGTTTTCCTGCTTATCATTTAGTCAAGTCAGTCAGCCAGTCAATGAAGGGTAAAATGGTTGTCTAGCATTAAGCTGGAAGTGGTAAAATCTTAAAGATCAGTGAGTTGTTTGTTCCAATAACCAATAATGCTGAAAAAAATTTCTCCATAACCCAATATTACATTGCACTTGGCAGTTTATCCCTGTTATTCTTTTTTTCAGTGGAAATCAAAGAAAAATGGGTATCCTTCTTGCAATAAAATGCTGAACAGAGCTCGCAAATAAACTCATTTGAATATTCAGTTTTTACTTTTGATACCAAATAACAGAGACATGCAAGTCTTCATCCTCTAATACTTTATACAGAGTATGAATGATCTAATGTTAAATCAAATATACTCATGTGTGAAGTGCATGGAAATCTACATGACAATGTGAACAGTGGTTCCTTCTGGATCACGGGGGATGTTTGTTGTTGATATCTTTATATTTGTTTTCTGCAGTGAGCATGCATTATTCATATAATGGTAATAAAAAGAAAAAAGTGGTTTTTCCTTAGAATAGTATTTTAAATCTTGGGAGATGACGAAAATTTTGCAACCTGTCTGCAAAGTCTTATTGTCATTAACTAACTAAAATGGGGAAAGATAAAAAGCAAACAGGAATTTAAAATACAAAAATAGGTAACCACCAGTCATACAAGAAATATGGAGTCAGATGTTCAATAAACAAACTGTCTTGGCAGCAGAGGTAACTCAGACCATTTATAAGCAACTTTTCTTGTCCCTTCTGATATTTTTCCATAAACACTCGGATATCACGGTGTTAGGAACTGCCAGGCTATTGGCAACGGACGAAACATGATGCACATTTTTCACTAATACTATTTTATTTTAAAACACCATTGATCTTAAGCTACCTCCACAATTGCAAATTGGGGGGCTTTTAAGGTAATTTATAGGGAAACACTGAAGTTTATCTTTGAAATAAAGTGAAATAATACCTGCACTTCCTACTTTGGGGAAATTTTATGTTAAATCACCTCGACAGGCAGAGATGACAAAACATTGAGAAATATTTAAAGATTTCATTTCTCTTCCTGATAACGACAAGGTTCATTTTGTGCTCTCTGAGGGGAAATCAAATCTGATTTACTGTCAGCTACCTCGGTGCCATGATCCACATTTCCCATTCTTTAAACAGCCTCAGCACAACAATATCACTGTCCTCACACAATGGGGTTAACCAACTGCCAAAGGGTTGACGAATCAGCAAATGCTTATGTAAAGCTACCTGGTTTTTTGACCATGAGAAGCATGATGCAAGCATGTGACAAACTATCCTAATTTTATTGACAAAAGGAAGCTTGATTTTCACTGAGATCATTAGCAGTGGGAAGGACTACAGCTAAATGTATTCTTCCGTTCTCACTTTCTCTCTGGTCTCTATTTCATCCCAACAGCAAAACACCTCACTCCTTCCTCCTTTCTAAGAAAATCTCAAGTGAGATTCTAAGAAAGCCCAGGGAAGCATCTGAAAAGTAACAGTGACCAGGCTTACTCTCATAATCCTCAAATTACTATTCCGATCTTGAATCCCAAGCAGACCAGCAGTCCACTAAGTGGAAATGCTAGTGAATAGGCTATGAATTTAAATGTCCAGCAGATAAGGAATTAACATGTTTAATCATTCTACCAAGCACGGAAGGAGCAGCCAGGCAAAAGCTAGCTGCCTTGGCTACATAGAATTACTGTTTGGAGCAAAGACTATTTGCAGCTCTTCGCAGGTTTGTGGAGGTTATCCTTTGTTGTTTCTAGTTTTCTCATAGAGCTGGATCCAACTTAGTCAAAATTGCCGTGCGTGGTCAAACTCCCAGGGCTCATCCCTGTTCCGGAGTCTGCCCCAAGTCATCATTAGAGCCCGTGCGGATTTTACTCTTTCCTGGGTGGCAACCATCATAAATTCCCAGTGATAAGATTTGGAAGTGGAATGAAGAAGGCTAAAGACAATCCATGGTGTTCTTGAAGAAATACCAAGATAAAGGATATAACTCTATCCATCAATGTTCCCCTCTTGGACAATGGAGGGCAGAAGTAAGAAAAATGTTTAGAAAGCCAGGTGAATGATGCAAGAAAACTCCGAATCTATCACTTTAAGAAAGCAGGAAAATAGCCTGATCAATGCCCATTTTAATACCAGACACAATGAATTATCCACTTTTTCCTTTCCAAAGCCTAAAATTTTTTTGAAAGAGTTATATCAAACTTGCTTTGCCTTTTATTCAAAATAATTACTTCAGTTTGGAATTATGTATTCCCCACCAAAACAACGGTGCTTCTGTCATTGAAACAGCTACTTAATTTACCCATTTTTCTGTTCAGAAATTCAGTCTTGTTATTGAACCATCTTTCAGTTTAAACCTTTAAAAACACATCTATATGCCTTCCTCTCAGCATTACAAGGCAATACTTAACTAGGATCATTTTCTCATGTTACCATTTCATAGTCTGCAAAGGAAAAAAATTAAAAAGTAAAAAATATGTTGACATACTTTTTTTTTTTTTTGGAGAAGTTTTGGCCATAGGGCGTGTGCACTCGCCAGACAGACAAAGAGAGACAGAGAGACAGAAAGTGAGAAATCACCCCCCAGGGGGAATGGCCACGCTGCAGTCCCTTCTTCTCCATTCTCCTCTCGGGATCTTGGGCACACACGCACACGTGCCCAGCGTGAGTTTAAAGCCACAGGGTCCGGGACACGAACCGTGGCTGACTACACGGTAGTTCAGTGACATAGCCATTATACTAACTGCTGGTCCCAAGATGTTGACATACTTAGGAAAAAGAAATTTATGGCAGAATTTTGAGCACAAATTCAGACCTGCCAAACTTCCTATTTTCTGAAACCAATAGAGCAGAGTTTTTTTTTTTTTAATAAAAGTTCAATCATTCATATTTTTAAAATATGCAAATGACTTAACAGATCTGATAAACTGATCATCACATTTTTTTAAACATCTATACCTTTGGTGTATGGACGTGCTAGTCTCTTGGTTTTCTTCCTGCCCCACAAGTTATTAGATAATTGCTCCTTTAATAAGTCTTCTTTCAGTAATTAATTTTTCAATGTTTGTGATACACTCTTATGGGTTACATTATTACGAATATGTTATGAACACATTTGCTTTGCAGGAAAATGTGCACTACTTACAGAGTTCCCTCTCCTTCCCACCCCCATCATTCCTGGGCAGGTAGTTTCTAAAAAAGATGTGTTTTGTTGGAAAGGCTAAGTGGTGAACCTGTGAAAGACAGGAACTAGAGGAAAGCTAATCTTCCATACAGAAGTAAAGACTTTCCTGGGGAAGGCCCAGCCTCAGGGGTGCAGTTGGTGGTGCACTGAACTGCAGTGCTGGAAGCCACGTGAACAACTTAGGTTCAGATCCCCAGGCGACCCGGAACTTGCTAGGTAAGCAAGCAGATGCCTAAGGTCTAGACAAACTGGAGGGCCGGGGGTGGGGGGGTCACAATATGATAAAATCCTGCAGAGCAGATGCCTGTCTTTCTCTCACACACACACATTCTCTCATAAAC